CCCGCCACAATGCCCAGCTGGTTTTTGGTTGTCGTTGTCATCATCGCTTGGCAGGCCCAGGCTGGATTCAAGCCCGCCAGCTCCAGTGTATGTGGCTGGTGCCCTGGTGCCCTAGCTGCTGAGCTACAGACATGAAGCCTAATCTTTTAATTTCTTTAGGTTATTTTCAAATTGTTTCTTGATTTGAGTCTGTAAATGTGTTTATTTTTATTTTTTGCTGTTGGTTAATAAGTGCATCTAAGGCTATAGACCTGTCTGTGGATTTCTTTAGCTTTATCTTTTATCTTTAATGTCCAACATGTTTATGGCTTTTCAGTGTTGAATATTCTATATTTTCATTGTGACTTCCTCTTTAACACACAAGTTGTTTAGAAATACATTTTTAATTGTATATTTATCTATATATAACACTGTCTTCATTGTTGATTCTAATGTCATTCATTGCCTTGTAGCCAAGAGGGCAGGCTCTGCTGTACTGGTTCTGTGAAATTTCCTACATTGCCTGGTTTGAGGTCAAGTTTTATAACTGGCCTGTGTGTGCTTAAAAAGCATGTAATTATTTAGTTGTTGGAGGCAGGGTCCATATAGATTCCACAGATTTTGATTTCAAATATTTTTCATTGGTATGAACTTTTAAAAGTGTTGCTTGGTTTCCAACAGAGAAGTATTAACTATGAATGTCACCCGTGCTCATTGTGGGTTTGCACAGACACCTCTGTTCTTATCCTAGTCTGGCTTTTTGTGTGTTGATGCAATGTGCCTTCAAATTCACGAATATTTATTTTCTTGGTAGGTTGTTTTAATGTTAGCCCCCTTTTCACCCAGTGGATGCCTATTTTTATCTAATATCCATCTTCCTAGAATTTATCACACCCGTTCATTGCTCTCCCGTTTCCCTTTCCTTATGGGTCACCACTCTCTCTCACATCCTGAATGTGCGTTTTTTTGTTTGTATGAACCTGTGCAAAAGGGTATAGTTTTGTTTTTATGCATTTAGCACTTTTTAAATATCCACCAAAACAGAAATTTCTTCCCCTCCTCGTTTAAAAGAAAACGAGCTATTAGTGCTTCTACGGTCCATAGTCAGTTAACTTTGTGCCACTCTGTGTTTACCCCACTGCCTGTTTCCCGAGCATCCCTCCGGGACTGCATGTCATAGGCAGAAATTTCGCCTTCAAAAGTCTCTTTAACAAAGGTCAGAGAGTGCTACACTCAGTTTGCTTTTCTGTTTGTTTATGTCCAAGATGTCTTTATTGGACCTTCAGTTTTATGAAAGTTGAGCTGAGTAAAATAATCAAAAGTGAACGCTATTTTCCTTAAGCTTCTTTTTCTTTCTTTCTTTCTTTGAGACAGAGTCTTACTTTGTCACCCTGGGTAAAGTGCTGTGGCAGCGTCACAGCTCACAGCAACCTCAAACTCTTGGACTCAAGCAAATTCTCTTGCCTCAGCCTCCCGAGTAGCTGGGACTATCGGCGCCCACCACAAGGCCCGGCTATTTTTAGAGATGAGGTCTCACTCTGGCTCAGACTGGTCTTCAACTCCTGAGCTCAGGCGATCCACCTGCCTTGGCGTCCCAGAGTGCTGGGATTATAGGCATGAGCCATGAGCTCTGCCTTTCCCTCAGCTTTTCAAAGATATTAATCCACTGTCTTCTGGGACTTAGTGTTGCTGTTGTGAAATCTGCTGTCCGTCTACACCCATGTCCCTATAGGTGGGGCGTCTCTTCTTTCTGGTAGTTTTTACTTTTTTCTCTCTATCCTGGATATTATGCAGTTTACTATAATATTTGAGAAGTGCATTTTTCTATTTTGATTATTACTTGGTTTGTAATTTAGATCTGGGATTTCATGTCTTTTTAATTGTGAAGAATTCTGAGCTATCAGGTTGCTTCTTTGCCATTTTCTACTGATGCTTTTCTTTCAGAACTGTTATTACATTTATATTGGAGCCTCTTGATCTATTTTGTCTGTGTGTGCGTGTATGTGTGTCTGTGTCTGTGTGTGTCTGTGTCTGTGTGTGTCTGTGTGTGTCTGTGTGTCTGTGTGTGTGTGTCTGTGTGTCTGTGTCTGTGTCTGTGTTTGTCTGTGTGTCTGTGTGTGTCTGTGTCTGTGTGTGTGTGTCTGTGTGTGTGTGTCTGTGTGTCTGTGTGTGTCTGTGTGTGTCTGTGTTTGTCTGTGTGTCTGTGT